TGCCGCTTCCTGTGCTGGCCATGCCCCCCCCGGGCTGACAATCTTAACGGGCTTATTTGGGGGGGGGTAGGGCTTCTATTAGGAGTATCCTAAAAATCATGCTAGGGCTTATTTTTTGGTTGGGTCTTATTTTCGGGAAAACACACTATAAGTTAATAAGCTAAATATACTAAATAATCAGCTTGAAGAACAGGGTGGTGATTACATAAATTAAAATACCAAGTGGTTTGAAGTATTATAGTGTTCTGCAAAAACACTAGCAGTGTTTGCATACTATAGATTGGATTACAGTAAACATGCCCCCTTTAAAAGAAGAAATGAAGTTATTGCTCCAATTCTGTATATCAAAATGGAGACAATGATTAAACATTGGTTACAGCCCATCTTTATTTTTGTTCTTATTAGGGCAAGGGAGTTCTGACATCAGACATTTTTTCTGGGGTGAATATTGATCCAAAAATTCTAGTGAAGAAGTTGGACACTGATTCAAGGAATCCTGTTTCAGTCATAAAAGGTAAGAATTGAGTGTCTTTACACATGGCTGTTGCAATGAATAAGAATGTAAAAATGGATAAAATTTGACTATAATGACTGTAATTTGATTTGATTTTAAATTGATAAATTGGATCAAGCGATAGAAGTGGAAATAGTTTCATATCAAACTGAATGCATACTTTTCTTCATGCTTAACATGATAACAATGATTCTTTGGCTGCTTCCTACTTTGTGAGAAATAGATGATCTCAGGGGACTGGAATTCTCCCCATTAAGACTTGTTTGTGATGTGATCCTGGTTGTCAGGGCATGTGAACTGGATCCAGTTCATCTCCCTAACTTTAATCAGTGCTTGCTCCCAAAAACACAGATTTTACTCAAGTTGGGAACATTCTGCAGTTCTCAAAGTCTATCTTTGTGGTTTTTTGCTCATAATAATACAGTACATTTACTCATAATACAGTACATTTATGTCAAAATTGCTCAGAAGAGAATGGAAAACTGCAGTGCAAAACTTACTGCTGATTTGTTTAATGTCCTGTATTTTTACTGTAATAATTAGGCTAGTCTTTTCCTAAACAACAACTTGCAAAAATGACTGTTGTAAAATTATTTAATTTTTGAGAAATGTCATAGTTATTGTTATTTGTTATACTGTTCCTCAGTTTACCTGTCTATCTACAAATATACACACAGATACACATGCATTCAGACATGCACACACTAAGTAAGTATCTTGTGGTGCTTCTTGTCCCTTGCGAGAAATTTTCATAATATGTAGAAATTGGTTCAAGAATGCTCTATATCTTTTAAAAAACAGATTTTTAGCTCTTGGTGTTTAAATATGAGCAGCTAGAAGCTGGGCATGTCATTCTTGCCTAAGATGATATATCCCCCACCCCCCTCAAAAAAAGTTTACTTATAAGTACTTGTCTGCTTTTAGTTCAAGACAAAGTTTTTGGACAACTGATCTTATAATACTGATAATCCAATACAGTATTATTCTGTAATATTATTTAACTAATTAACTGTCATATGGATGCCTTCATTGTTGACAAACTTGCATCCTCCAATCTATTACTTTCCAGTCATTAAGATTATTTACTGTATTTTTCGGAGTATAAGACGCACCAAGGTTTTGAAGAGGCAATTTTTTTAAAAAAAAAAGTTTTTGCACTTTGCAAACCTCCCCAAAACAGACAGTTTTTCATGAAAACGGCCCATTTTTTTTTTCAAAAAAAGGGCATGAATAACCCTTAGGAGGCTTGTAGAGTGCTCCTGGGGGCGGGGGAGGGGGGGAAAAATGAGCAAAAAACAGCCCATTGTTTGCTTATTTCTGCCCTCCCCCGCCCCCAGGTGCTCTCTGGAAGCCTCCATAAGGCTATGTACAGCCATTTTGGTGAAGGGTGCGGGGTTTCTAGAAGCAAAAAATGCTGTATTCAGTGCATAAGACGCATCCAGATTTTCAGTCACTTTTTTGAGGGAAAAAGGTGTGTCTTATACTCTGAAAAATATGGTACATTTTTATAACAGAGGTAGCTCTTATCTTGTAGAATTTTTATGAGCTAGAAGTTGCTATTTCAAGAATCTCAAATCTACCCTCTAAAATCATGTTTTTAAATTCCTACCATTTGAATCAAAGATTTGTTATATTCAATACTAATATTTTGCCGTTTCTGTGGTAACTAGATTGCAAAATGAATTGTTTTCATGAGGCTTACATTTTTGGAAATAAAACAGTCGGGTCTTCGAACATGACATTGTGTATAGATATCATTAGGTCTGAGTTTAAAACAATAGAGGCTGTAACATCCAGATGCAGCCAATTTTTTTAAAAAAATGTTTTTTTGTTTCTTCATTCTTTGCTTTTCTTACAGTTTGACTGATTTAAGATTCTGGAGAACTAAACATCCCTTAATGTCCTTGTTGATTCTAATATTTTTTTTTGAAAAGGATAAGCATGATTTTCATTTGCCTATTTAATAACTGATAGAAAAATGTTTTCCAGGCCTTTCTAGAAGGAAAAATATTTTAAAATGAATTTACAAGCTTCTGCCAATATATGGAAGCAGACTTTTGTTCTTGCAGTGGAACTTCTGCTTCCTTTCCTTCCTGCTTGTAAGAGTTGGTTCTCATACTATCAACACTATCAGTGTGAACTAAATACGAACAAATATGACCATGTGACAACAAAGGACAGATGGAAAAAGGCGAGAAAGGAACAGGCAATAAATTAAATAGTGCAGGAGGGAAAAAATTGAAAAGAGTTTGAACACTACTTCTCTAGATATTTCTTCTTGTTCTGCTTGCTCCATTCCAAAAGCCCATCTCCTCTCAAGATTCGCCAAATTCTCCCAACATTTTCTAAACCATTCTGCCAGTTTTGAAAGGCTAATACTCTCCTACTAATGTCTCAATACCTTTTGCATTGTCCAATGTGAAGGTGGATTCCCCAGTTTTGGTTCTCCCCATAATTCTATGGATTACACAACCACGGCTAGAACTCCCTGAGCCGATGTGCCCAGGTTAGGAAAGAATGCTATTCAGCAGGAGACAACAACTTTGTGGACAGTGGGGTGGGCGGGTGGAGAGTATTCTATTCTTCCTGTCTCCACATGCTCACTTATTAATTGTAAAACTTAAATTGATTAGATCAGGAGTGTCAAACTTGATTGCATTGCAGGCCACATCAGCATTGAGATTGTCCTCAGGGGGCATGGTCCAAGGGGAGACACGCGATCCTCGCTGGGCCTGGGCAGCCACGGCGCTGATGAGGATCTGGCTTTCCCTTCTCATGGCCTTTCTATCTGGCCGCTTCACCTCCTTTGGGCTCAGTGGGTCTGCCAATCTGCATTAGCAGCTTGTGGTGGGGCCAAGATGTATTGGGGAAGAAAAGGGTGCACCTTTTGCCTGTTGGGCCTGGGTTTGTTCTACTACCTCTACTTGTGCTTTCTACCTGGCCTTTTCTCCTTTGTGCTGGATGGGCCTGGTGCTCCGGGCAGTGATGGCAGTGGCCTAGTGGATCTCTATGAGCTCTGGCTGCCACAATGGTAGCGGCATCCCACAGCAATGCTGAGGTGTGTCGGGTGCACAAGAGGAACACGCTCCACGTGTAGGTCAAGGACAAGACCGAGAGAGCTAAAGAGTTGACCAGTGGTGACCTGCTCTCCAACTGCAAACCAAAACAGACAGAACAGAGTAGGCAGCAGCCGGCCCACCCCCTGCTTCACCTTGTCTTGGCCCACAGCAGTAGCCAGAGGCAGAGATGCAGGGGAGAGGCACACGGTCCAGCCTGCTGGATGCGCTGGGCAGTCATCTGCCCTGTCCCAGCCACATGGGATGAAGCAGGTGCATCCGGTGGTCCGCATCACGTTCCTGCCGCCACCACCATGACTGTTTTCTTGGATGGCCAGATGCAGAGCCCCTGCTGCAGGACACACCCACCCACTCACACTTGAAACGCCAGTAAGCACGACTGTCCTGAAACTGTAAGGGGCTGCCCCGCATCGGTCCAGCCTATGCCATCCTGACAGGTACATGTGCGCATAGAAGGAGGCAGACACACACACAGGCCCACCCCATCCCAGTGTGTGCCCAACTCCTGTGTGCACGTGTGCCTGCCGGGACGGTGGGGGCTGGGCTAAAGCAGCGCATGTGTCCACCGCCTCCTGCATGCATGCGAACTCACCGGGATGGGATGGGATGTGGACTGACCTCTTTACCACATCACGGGCTGGATCCATCCTGTGGGTCTTGAGTTTGACACTTCTGGATTAAATGAAAGCTACATGGAGCCATTATAGTGGCATGGCATTATAATTATTATAGTATAAAATTGTGATTTCAGTTCTCTAGAATACTGAGATCTTTGGAAAATGTTTTACAGGCTCAATTTTTTAAAATTAAAATATACACTGTATAATAGTACAATAATACACTACATTCTCTAATACTAGTGCAGTAATAGAAAGTGTCAATATTTCCTTTCTACAAGTAAACATTGTTGGCTTAACTAATATAACTATGCCATCCCACCATGGAATGCCACCTGGTTTTATGGCAGGACATAAGGTCTTCAGTGACACTAAGAGCCATGCAAGAGATATTATAGATACTGTCAAAGTCTCCTGAGCAGGACAGATCTTCACTGAGAAAAGCAAATAATTTCACTTATCCAGGATGAAAATCAAGACCAAATCCTATACCAGCTTAGTCATAAATTCAATCAAATTATGATGTTATGATTGCTGAGCATTAGATGACAAAACTCAGTTCCCTTTGCCTGACAACTAAGGAACAAAGAATTGTTCCTTAGAAATAAATTGCCAAAGGTACAATTGCCCTTAACATGGACTGATATACCCATTGAGGTTCCAATTTTTGTCCAATTTTTCTTGAAAACATCCTGAAATGCTGCACCCCCAATTCCAGGAGGCAAGCTGTTCTATTGGTTAATTTTTCTCACTGTCAGGAAGTTTCTCATTAGTTCCAGGTTGGATCTTTCTTTAACGAGCTTCAAACCATTGTATCTTGTCCTACCCTCAAATGCTCTGGAGAATAAATTGATCCCCCACCTTTTTCTGGCAGCCCCTCATGTACCTTATCTTATGTTTCTTATTCTTATATTATTCTTATATTTATGTTCCCATGGTTCCCAAGTGTTAATCATCAATATTCGAATGGAACTAGAGGATGACCTAGTGCATTTCACAAATAATTTGTGCTTCTAATGTGGCAATACTCTATTCTTTCATTGTTACTAAAAATCAAATTGGAAGGACCATAACAGAGAAGTCAAACTCAAGGCCTGCAAGCCAGATCCAGCCCATGATGGGGTTAAGACTGGCCCACTCTAGAGATCACCACCTTGGCCCTGACTGAGGCAGTGATCACATGGGGCTGGCATCCTCGGTGCAAGGGGAGCACTCAGAACACAGTCAGCTTGCAGGGCAAGATGGTCACCGGGGATGCCAGCCCCCGTATGCTTGTTGCCTCCTGTGTGCACACCCAGGGGAAGTGCTCTGCTGGGCTTGGGTGGGCAGGGGCCGAGGAGGCAGGGCCAGCCCCTTGCTGTGTTCAGGGCAGCCTCACAGGCCAGATCTGACCATATTCCAGGCCAGGTAGCTGCCATGAAGTTGTAGATCAGCATGTAGTATAGCCCCAGCAGCAGCGCCACTCCCATCACCAGCGCCTCTGTCACCTCCATGAGCTGCTCGCCCACCCAGCCTTGCCCACTGGCCCCACAGCACTTTCCTTTCACCAGGACACCCCTCCCCGCCTCCCACCCTCCATGTGGGAAAGCCACACCACCAGCAACGCTGCCACCATCTCCTCCTCCCCTCATCCCTTCCTGGGTAAGGAGGGGAGGGAGGGAGGAGATGGGAATGAGAAGAAGGAAGGGGGGAAGGAAGAAAGGAAATGGGAATGAGAAGGAAGGGAGGCAGGAAGGGAGAGAGGGAGAGAGATTGGAATGTGAGGGAGGATCTGAGAGAAGTCCTGCGTTAGGACTTGGCCACCAGCAGCCCTTTCGCTGTCGCCTTGTCCTCTTGGTGGTCTTCCATCCTATCGCTGAGGATGCTTTGCTTATAAAGCTGGGTCTACTCACATGGAGAGGGAGTGGGCCTCCCTCTGACCCATGCTATTTGCCCTCCTGCACTACCATGAGAAACCTGGCCAAGGAGAGCAAGCATAGCAGCAGAAGTCTGGTGGAGGAGGTAAGTGCGGCTGGGTGCCCCCTTGGGGAAGCTGGACTGGGCTGTGAGATTCTGGTGGTCTGGGAATTCCAGGGCTGGGCTGGGCACTTGCCCTCTCCTCTGGTGGATGATGCCCTGGTCTCGCCTTTCTCCACTGAAGACCTCTGAATCCCCCCTCCCAGCCTTACCTCCCCCCCCCACAGGAAGTGGAGGATGGTGCTGCTGCATGTGGAAGTGCAGAGGGAAAAGTTTGCAGGAAGCAGTTTCTTCTGAGTCCAGCTTCTGCCTTAACAGATCTCTGGGAAGAGGAGGGAAGGCTGTCCCAACAAGCCAGCATCCTTACCACATGATTGGAAATGGAGATTCCCTTTTGAGAAGGACCAGCTCCCTCATAAAGGACCAGGGAGCATTGTTCTGCTGCCCCCTCCTCTTGGTCCCCAGAGATCTGTTCAAGGCAGAAGTTGCACTCGGAGGAAACTGCTTCCTGCAAGCTTTCACTGCTGCACTTTCTCATGCAGCAACATTGTCCTCCGTCTCCTGCTTTGCAGGGAGGGGGTCTGGGATTGGGAGAAGAAGGTCTCCTTTGGCGTGCTGTGCTTATGCATGTACACACGCGTGTGCGCATGCATACACACACCATTTCAAGTTTGGAGAATTTTATCCACATCTGCGCTTGAAATTACCAATCATGGCAGGGCTTGTGGAGAGGGCTCTCTCCTTCCTGTGTGGATAAAAGTACCCAAACGTAGAATGGTGTGTGTGTGACTCTGTGTGTGTGTGTGCGCGCGCATACATGCACGCATTTGGCTGCCAGCAGTTTGGGCACCGAATTGTCCTCATGTCGCGTTAGCCAGAGTGACTTGTTCCATCCTCTCGGGAATCTCGGGAGTCTCTCGGGAATAGGGCGGCATACAAATTGAATAAATCCAATCCATACAAATTGAATAAATCCAATCCATCCTGACCCAATCAGCCACACCCAGTGAGCTACTTCGAGCCAGCCATGCCCACTCAACTATGCCCATCTAGTCCCAGCAACCCAGCTGTGACCACCCAGTCAACATAGTCTTACATGCAACTGGCCCTTTGAGGGCAACCCTAATGCTGATGTGGCCCTCAGTGAAATTGATTTTGACACCCCTGGACTATAATGTAGTTGAAACAAGCTATGGCTTTCATTTTATGCTTTGAATTTATATTAAAGTTGGATGACTTTGCCCTTCACACATATCTGCCTATGCCAAATCAGAATATATGCTGAAGCATTCAACTGGAAGAAGCACACAGTTTGGAAATCCAATAAGTTGCTAATGAAAATGCTATTTCACAAATATTGACTGAAAAAAAGAGCAAGCTTTGGTGGTTGTCAGTGTCCTCTTCATGCAGCAGATGATAGCAATGCTAAAAATAATATCAGGAAAGGACAAGAATGATTTACCAAGGTTTTAAATCCATTTTGCAAGCTTTCTGTTTTGATACCTGAGCAAGCAAAAGAATGCAAATTAGAGGTTTATTAAGAATGTTGCAGTTTGCTTCTGAATATAAATATCACAAAATCTTACAGAGTTGTGTGCCATCTTTCTTAAAACATCCAAGTTCAGTTTGAGGTAGCCATTCATATCCCATTAATGTACATATTGGAAGGTGGATATTTGCCTGTTCCCTCTACTATCAGAAAGAATAAGGACAAACTTGCAAGGGGCACACTATGAGGTGAATGTTCTCTGATCAGTATCTCCCTTCTGAATCAATTTCACCTATTCCATTAAAACACTGAATTTTCTGCATCCAGAAGGAATATTGGTTTCTATCACTTTTCTGAAGGTAAAAAGCAATTACAATAATAGTTGTCTTTTTTTAAAAAAAAAAACGTTTTGTTTTCACATAAAACTTATTAAAGATATCATTTATAGCCCAGTGCTTATGGACTAGCACCCCAATCATGTTATTTATGTAGTGTCCAGATTTAAAATTGAAGTGCATATAGAGAATATATTGTTCATTGATGCAAAGAAACATTATTATTTCTCTTGTGTTTCAGATGAAGATGAAAAAGTAATGTCTAAGAAAGAAAAAATGAAGATGCGTAAGGAGAGATGGCTGCAAAGTTAGTATTTTTTTAATGATTTTCACAGATAACTGGATTGTTAGGTACAGTATGCCAAATAAGAATATGCTTCTGGAAATATGAACAAGAATCTGTCTGAACAGTTATTTCTAACAAAGGCCCAATATATATATAACAATATATATATAACAATATATATATAACAATATATATATAACTATATATATATAACTATATATAACAATATATATATAACTATATATATATATAACTATATATATAACTATATATATATATAACTATATATATAACTATATATATATATATAACTATATATATAACTATATATATATATATAGTTTTTTATATATATATATAAAAAACAATATACCCTAGCTAAAGGGTGTGGCTAGCTGAGCTAAATAGCTTGAAATAGATCTATACTAGTCTCCCTTTATTTATTTATCAGCACAAATAAAAAACACAAAT